CTTTGAAATAAAGTATAAAGAGCTTCAAAATCATTTTTTTTTACAATCAAGATTATAAATTGTAGTAAAGAAGCACGTACGAGTAACATTAGCTATATTAAATAGCTGTTTCGGTTAGTCAAAGGTCTGTAACGATGTTATTTTACTATTTCGATGAAACAAAGAATTCAGCTCGAATCTTAACATTTATGAGCATTGATTTGCGATCTTAGCGTGCCAATGTCACGAGCATTTTCTATGTGAATACACGATAGACATAATGCGCATGCTAATTGAATCTTCTAATCCTGCGGATCGTTCATTTACTCCGTGCCCGGTACGATCCAACACAAACCAAGCTAAGAGACGTTGTTTAGGGTGGCGCTCGATGTGACACGCGACCACAACGTGGCTGCATTTACATTATATCGCGGTTTGTATGATGTTACTTAGGTGCGTGCGTGCCGTGTGCCGAACCAGCATTTTCGTGATTAATTTTTCTAATGTTCCGTTAGACAACTTTTCCTTCGACGAAAAATTTATTATACTACAACTAATATACCTTTCCTGTCATTTTCGATGAAACACAAAACGAAACCTAAATGGTTAAATAAGAAGAACTGCCTAAATTAAAAAGCAGAAACATCTAACCATACCCCTTTCTATCGAAAACCATATATCTACTTAGTCATAAATATAATACTTTGCTCTTTTCCTCTATGTTATCACAAATAGGTCAAATTCCCCCAATAATTGTCACCACCGAGTAAAACTTGACACCAGCTTCTCAGAGTGATACCAGTTTCATTCCAAGCAAGAAATCTATTTCCCCAATAACTATAAACAACGCCTATGGCAGAACATTGCACTTAAATCAAGGAGGTGAGGATTCGAGAAGACTGTACGAGCTACAGAAAAATAGTTACGTGCAAGCCCAGTAGGCTTTGCCTGTCACCTACGTGTAACATATATCCACCAGATGAGGACGAAAGCTCCGAGGTGTTGTATCGAAAACCGGGGGTTGAGCACCCCTGAGCACAAGATGTCCTCCTGAAGACTATCTCGGCTCGGGTCCCGCGGGAAACCTCTTCCTTCCTACCGTTCCTATCTCAGGACACTCTATGGCCTATTCAGATACCAGGCTCACCCTGCTACTTCCATGTTAGCTAGCTTGTGAGAGAGAGCGGGAGGGAGAGGGAGGGAGAGACAGAGAGAGAGACACAGAGACACAGGAGAGAGAGAGAGACAGAGAGAGAAGGGGAGAGAAAGAGTATGTGTCTGTACTTCCAGGGACAAGCAGTACCATGTAGAATGTGGAGGAGGTATAAGTACGCCTGAGTATTCGAGTGCTCTTATACCTTGCAGCTTCGCCACATCTTGTAGGAAACGTATTTTGCAAGCCTAAATATTCCGTGTTTCTAGTTGCGATGGTATGAGACGCTATCTTACAGGTGGGTACCTTCGAGAACGAGTTATCTGGTCCCTTATTTCGCAGATCGTTACGAAGGATGATAGTAACGGTGATAAACTGATATCAGGCTCGTTAACGTTTCTACGAAATCGAACCGTGTACTTCTTCATTCGTTTCGTTGTAGCACTACAATCTGTATTCCCCGCTCTGAATTCTAAGTAGAATGTCTTTACACTAAAAAGTATCGCACTTTAGGTACTTTGTGTGAAATTTGTAACTAAAATTCCGAGTAGTAAGTGAATATACCTGTAAATGAAACTGGATTAAGAATGTAAGAAAAATAGCACTCACCGGTCGATAATAACAGGATCGCTTGGTGTTTCGTTCCTATTTCCGCAGCTCTTTTTATCACAACACCGACTGGAACAGAAAGAGGAGGAAACTCGATCAGAAATTAGTAGGCGTACGATTTGCAAACATTTCTTTCGGCCCTGGGTGTATTTTTCCTTTTTTTTTCTTCAACTCAATTCGATCGGTAGGCCTAGAGGGGGTCGAAACTTTCGAGGTGGTCGAAAAACTACCGGAACCCTTGGGACGTTCCAAGTTCGGGGGTGGAGAGTAGTCAGGCTCAAGTCCCATGGGCCAATGAGTCAGCCACCCCCCGAGAATAACTGCACCCCCGTGTGTCTCGTTATGTTTATGGTTTGCTACCGCAAGGGTGGCTGCTTGCATGAAGAGCTAATATTTTCCTCTACCTGCATATGTATTCGCGTGGTACGCTAAAAGTCCCGTCGCTAGAGGATCTCAAGGTGTATCCATCGTTTCGCATCTTTCCGGTTGTGAAAAACAATTAGAGTTTCAATTTTGCATTTTTGAGATTGAAGGTAGCTTCAAATGCACGTACAGGGTTATTAGCGACGATGTTTCGGAGGAAATATATTACTGGAGATTAGATTTCATTGTGGAACGTTGAGTCCCTTAGGAAGGAGAATACCTACTTTCAGTATTTGCCGATGGTCACTGAGATTTTCATTCGAAGTTTCTTTAATGTGGAATTTGGAACGGGCTTTCGTATACTTAGGGTAGATTAAAAGAACTTGCTTTACGGTTATCTGACAGTTACATACATTACAAATTGGAGGGTTGGTTTTAGAGAGTAGTATGAATGCGTGAGCTTCTTATGATCTATTCTGAATCTATATACTTTTGTTTTAAATTAATGTTACGAATAGGTAAAGTTAGAATGAATGCAGTGATTGACTAACATCTTATCAATGCTTGGCAACGTAATCTAGTTAACCCTAGTGCGTTCTTTCGTTCGACTGTACACTTGAGGTTTTTGGGTCTTTTTTGACCCAAAGGTCTTAGGTGTAACAATTTTCGTTACCAGAACGCCATATGAACTTGGGTAATGAACTTTCGATGTTATGTTAAGGGAACATAAATTTGATAACAGCAAAAGTAATTAAAAGGATAAGAAGGCGATGGGTCAAAAAAGACCCGAAGAACGCTCTAGGGTTAATCGTACGGTTGAAGTTGGTTAGAAGTGATATTCGGTTGAAGGGTTATTCTAGTAATCATGTCGAAATTTTCGGCAATATTCAGGGATTTTTATCTGTGTATACACTGAATAAATGTAAAATAATTTATGCAAATATTTTCTGCAAAAATTTAACAGTGCATTCTTTACGTTTCATACTTCCAAAAAATGCAAAAAAATTCCTCAAGTGAAAGTACTGTTTTATATTTACTTTTCACGAAGCTTAAAGCTGTTATTAAAAGCTAGGTGTAAAATAAATAGGCAAACTCACCTACACATCACCTCGTGAGTAAGAAGGACCCTGCACATCTCAGGATTTTTGTCTTGACCTTCGTACATGATAGCCTGTAACAAAAGAAATAATAATTGTTAATATAAATTAACAAATGTAATTCTTAGTGTAAATATAATTCATATGTTATTGATCAACATACATGTAACTATTCAGTATTAGTGTCACTTATTGAAATTGCGGGTCAGTTATATTCTCTAACAAATGAAATTCTGCTGCGTGCATTTGTACTTTTGTGTTACACATGTAGCATGAAAACTGGTAAAAAAATGTAGCATGTTAGGAAGGAAGAACAGAAGGGACCATTTCCCCTAGAACATCTCTAAGCCGTAGGTGGTCTAAGCAAATCCGTTAAGCTTCCTTCACGACTTCCTAAGTGATTTTTATTTAATGACAAAACGTCGTTACTCTTCACTCGTGTACTTACAGTTGGGCAATACGATGCGGATTAACCGCGGAATAATAAAGCACAGTTAGGTAATACGTTTTTAATTTTGATTAACGAAGTACTTCAAATACCGAGAAATACACTTAAATGACTTTGTTATCTTTTGCAACGATTAATTTTACTTGGCAACTAACTATTTTTATTAATTCTAAACTACCTACGAATAACCTTTGTTACAATTAAATCTATATACATTTCTTTGTTACTAAAAATTCAGAGTTAGTTGCAAAAGGTACTGTTTATACACACGTCGCATAAATCATAACAGAGTTATTTATATTTTTTGGAATACAGAATACTCAAAGCTTAACACTTAAATTTGAACTTATTACAGATCAACGATCCACAAATTCATCGACTCGTGATTAATAAATATAAGAAAGCAACGTATCGTACGATACGCTGTGCAAAGTATTAAAAAAAATTTCGTTTGTCCACGAATGAAATTTTATTCAATCGATTAATCGACTTTTTAATTCACTCTGACTTAGTTCTGTTAATTATTGTAGAATTACAAATAAATAAATGTGACAAAGTTTACGAAATTTTAATACTCGACCGTAAAAGAATTAAAAAACACTCGTGTATTGTTACGTATCTCTTATGAAAGCAACGTCACTTGCTATTTGTTATGAATCGGAAAGAAAGTCAACGATTCGGACGTTCCTATATATACGCGTAAGGTACATCAATCGTATCGCTGTAATTTATACACAAGTTACTCTCGGTATTGTGTACAACGAGCTAAATTGCCCGAGTTTGCGAAGAAGCGATAAAATGTAAATACTTTGAAATGCGGTAACCTGGGGAATTGGTTCGGTTGATGTTGCTACTCAGATTCGAGAAACAGGTGAATAACAGAGAACGTTGCGCTCGCGCGCCGGTAACGATATCTAATACATTTCGCCTCGGCAGTTAGGTGCGACTTTCAGAACGACATCAAATATTTATACGAACAAAATAACCGAATTGCAACGTAAACGAACCGCGGGCGGCCTGTATACGCTGTGGTAGGTAAATCAGAGGAGAATCCTCCCCCTCCCGTCAAAGTAGAAACGTCAACCCAGAAAACAGAGGGGCGAAAATAAACACAGAAGGAAGAGGCAAGTGAATCGAGGAGTAAAAGAAGAAAAGTACACGTTACCTTGTAAGAGAAAAGCGAATCGAGGCATAAAATGTTACGTGCCTTTTGCCCATTTTCACTTCTGATCGCTAACCAACATGCGATCTTATTTATACCGAGAATAATTAAAACGAGTGTCTACTTTGTACAGATTAGCCCTATCTCCAAGACAATGATCTTGCGGTTACTTAAAAAATTAACCGTTTCCTTCGAATTTCCACGACATTTTCGTCAAATGGCACTCATGAAATACAGACTTCGTGAAAATAATTATGAAATACAGATTATTCACTCGCGAGTCAAATATTGCAAACACCTTGTGTAAAATTAATTGCACCATTTCACGTTGTAAAATAGTACAGTACATAAATTTAACGATTATTGCTTCGGTTAAATTAGAATAACAATTGATCAGATGAAACACGCCGTCATTTCCGGAAAATTGTCATAGAATTGTCCGGAGTCGATAATAGTATTTGCATAATCTTGAGCCCAGTGCACGTGTTACTCATACACAACAATTGGTTATACACATAACGATCATTGAGCAGGTCATGTACACCTTGTAATACGACATGTGATATTATTTACTCGGTAACCATTACCACAGGTACGACACGTTCTGTTGATTTTACGTACCAATTCCACTTACGGGCAATTTTGCGCAATTATTTTTCACCGCGTCGTTCATTCTCGTGGAACACCAAGTCCTTATTTGTTTTCATTGCCATTGGGGTTGACGATACCTGCTTATTGGTGATGTACGTGGATGTACGTATCGAAATCGATCAACAGTCATTTTCCTATGGTCAGAGGTGCATTTGCATAACTCAGATCTCGCCGATGTCACGAATGACTGCGGCACGAATTTTACTACGAATTGCAAATCGTCGGAAAATTTACAGTTCTGTCAACTATTCCCTAAGTAATTTCTATTTGGAGCTGTTTTTTCTATAGACACATAAAAATTGTAGGTATATTAAATTTATGAATAACCGAATTTATCGATTAACCCTTTGCACTCCTTTGTCGAGTGTGACTCGAAATCAATTTTATTTACAGGTACTCCTATGTCGAGTCACACTCGATAAATTGCCAGTTTAAATATGCATTATATTTCGCAATATTTTTTTTATACTTAGACAAGAAACATTACCCGTACACTACCGGTCGAATGTTTCGAATCACTGTGCATTGCAAGTTACGCAAAAATTTTCAGAAAAAAGTTTGCAATCTTAAGAATTTTTTAACGAATTTTTTATCATTCCAATCCGTCGAAATGAGGTAAACTGCTACTGATCTCCACAACGCCAATTTCAAATCTACCAAGAGTTAATAACAGATTCAGTATTGATGAAAATTGACAGGTGATTCCAAACTTTTGGGCGGTAGTGTATATGATCCTTCTTTGTAAAAAAAAAAGTGTATTTGTTACAGAGAAGTGTCATATATATGTAACGAAGCAATTGTCTACATTACCCCCTATCAACCAATTGTCCTTTGAAGTACTTTTTAAATAAAACACATAAAATAATGCGGAGTTGTTGGAAAGAATATGAAAAAAGGATTCAGAGTGCAAAGGGTTAATTCCGTCTTCAATGAAACTTCGACGATACCGTTCTGTCAATTAACACTGTAAAAAGTAGTTCCAGGTTGGTGAAAGGAAGGCTTTACTATCTCCAAGAGAGGTTTAAACGTAATTAGCCAAGTAACGACTAGGTGTCTACGAATCAATTTTATAGTCGTGTGATCCTAAAAGGGACTGGTATTACATCTCTTTCATTAGCACACTTATCTGTTGAACATCACGTGGTTATGTTGTGAAACGTCTCAAGGGGTGTTTGGCTTAAGTAGGCAGAGCAAGGTTACAAGCAACGCCGTCCTATGAGTTGTCCTATGAGTCGGGGGTGCGACCAGTCAGCAGTGGCCCCTCGGGGACCTTTCTTCCGTTGCTTTTTGGTCCCAATAGAAACGTTTGGGCCTCCAATTCCCACGGGAATTACTTACGAAGGACTAATAGCGAGAAAATATCAACATTGATAGTTTCCAAATTTTTAACAATATCTATGCTTCAATCGACAAACTTGTTTAATCAAAATGGTAAATTAACTCTTCTTCGTTTCCCTGTAGTTTCAGTGTATTAACTGTGCGTGTATCGACATGTGTTTAGACGTTCATTTTTAATAACAACTTTTCTCTACTAGGCCGTTACTCTATTGAGATTTGAAGTTTGATTCAGCAGGTTTGTCACTGTATGGTATGCCATGAAATACTCATTTCCGAATGAGGTAAGGATTAAACGCAATATCGAGATTGGGTGAGCAAATATGTGCTCTTATAGTTATCTGAGAATTTTGCAAAATAATAATGGTTGTTCTTTCAAAGTATTCAATATTGACAGCACCTTTAGCAAACTACTAATTCTAATAAATTAGCCGTAATTTAAATAATTCAAAATATTAATTTTAATCTGTTTAGCATTTGGTTATAAAGTAAATTAAAATATCAGCGAAATAATAAGAACTTAAGAAGTTAAGTGTTGCAAGTGTTACAGTTAAAGCTATTAAATTAATCGAACTTTTCGCTGCTAATATTGACTTATACGCTGTTACTAAAAGACTCAAGAGTGCTAGACTGAAACAATGTTATTTCAAAAACATAACGATACAACGTAAGCAATATTAAAACATAAGTCCCATCGATTGAAAGGAAGTCTTTGCGTTTAACAGTAAAATCAATAGCAGAAACAATGTGGTTCACAGCGAACTCTGAAAGATGGCAGCGGAATTAAGAACAGAAGTGCAAACGGGAGGCGGATAAATTTAAGATAGTCATTCAAATCTGCTGTAATGATTTCCATCCCGAATCGATTCGAAAAATCCCCTGGGAATCCCCCTCTATACCGTTTATGCATCCTCTGTTAGCCGACGTATACACCGCCGAACAGCCTGCATACAATGTTACTCTCACCCCTAAAAAGAACGTTGATCGCTTAGGGTGGCAGGCGACGTGTTCTCTTTCTCATCTTATCTGTCAAGGATTAACTTATCTCCAACTTATTATTTCCTTAATCTGTAGTTAAATACTCATATTTCAGTATTATGTACGGGTAGCGGACGTTTCGGGGCCAAAAATACCGATTCGATTCGGTAATGTTTAAGGATTACGATAGTTCCCTTCTCCCTCGAATCGCGAATACTTTTTTCTTCCTTTCCAAACATACGTTTCGAACGACGCGATTATGAAGATACGAAGACATTAGCCTTGATATCGATAATCGATTCAGGAGAAACGAATACATACACACACAGAGAGGGGCGGTCATATCAGTTCCGAATCTTTTTTTCGATTCTTTTCTGAATTCTCCCGGGTAACATTTCACAGAAAGAAGGAAAAAGAAGAAAGGAAGAATTCCGACTGATCATCTCCAACGTCGGATGGAAGTTGGAGCTTAAAAGGGTTAGATACAATTTCCTGTTGTTCATTCATTTAAAATAACGATGGTACGCGCGGTTCGCTGTTTCCTCCATACCCGCCTCCTGTAAATGCTTTTTTATCCCCGGAACTAATTACCATTTAGCATTTTTAATCCTGCGAAAAAGCGCATTCTAACCCTCCCCACTTTGCTCTGCCCATCCCTCCTTCCTGCCCGGAAGTTCGTTCTCGAGCGCTTACAAACGTACGTTGTTAGCGCCATTCAGTTGCGGTTGCACGGCCACTCTTCTCTTTCTGCAGAAGCTGCTCGTATTTTTCTGGAAATTTCAGCGAGAAAACGTACGGCAGTTCTCGACATCCTGTATTTTTTTCCCCTCCTGCTTTCTCATCGAGACTACCTTCCGGGTACCTCTCTTCTGCCGCCCCGGCAAGCGAAAGTAGATATAGATACCTCTACCTAGGCCAGGAGCGAAGGAATTGAAGAACAGCTTAAGGGTAGGAGAGCTTTACCACGGGCTTAGCAGCCAGCTCGGTGTAGCCAATTATTGCGGATTTATAACCGACCACTTGATTCGGTCTCGAGAAAGTCGGCCGCGTTTCCGAATTGGAATTTCTGAGTCGTAATTTGACATTTTCTTGCGATGACTAACAAAAATTTATCGATTCCTACATTTTTTATGTACTATTTTTCAAGCCTTCTAATTGCTTCGCTACGTCGGTTGGCGAGTTGCGGGAAATCGTACTAATAAGAAACGTGTATTACTAGTTACCGTGAAAGAGAACCAAAGGAAAGATCGTGATATCTTTAAATAATTCCACTATTAAACTAATTTAATACAGATTGATATTTGAGTAAAATAATAAGTCTGCACTTTGGAGTCAGATTGACCTTAATTCTGTGTTGCAATTTCGCAATTTTAAAATTTAAAAAAATCAGTGATCACACATAAAATAATTATTAATACCCGGTAAATTTCAGACAATAAAATTTATCAAGTAACGTAAACAGGTCCCTATATTTCTAATAAAGCAAAGAAAGATCAGTAAAATAGCGTACGTAACTCAATTCGAAGAAAAATGAAATTGGGTTAGTCTAACTTTCAACCCTTCGTTAAATATTTGAAATAGTATTTTTATTTTTAAATAATTTTAAAAGAGAACATTTCTATCCAAGAATATTAAAACGTGATTGTTAAACAAAACAGTTATACGACAAATTCTTATTTCATTGTTTGTACAAGCACGAGGATGTTTATTATCAACCGTGGAACGACAACGGTTGTAAAAATTTCTAAAGCAATTCTTTTTTTCCCGTACGTAAATAAACGTTGTACGAGCTCTTTTTTCTTTCTTTTTCCGCTTCTAGAGCTTTAATCCGACGGACGCTTGGCGTTTGTTAATTTTGCAGCGTACGATACGCAGTAAGAACACGTCAACCTAGATTTGCTAAACACTTCGTACTAGTTGTTGCGTGAAACTCCATACACAGTCAGAGTAAATATATATCGATTCCCGTGTCTGTATGTCTTCCTCTCACTTTGCCAGAATAGAGGAGACGCGTTCAATCGAGGCTTTGATGTATAAATTGCAGCTTTTTCGTTTTCGATCCCACCTCCTCATCCAACTTTCTACTCCCTTTACTGGCACGATTCCTCCATAGAGACAGAGAGGGTATCCCGGCATCTATCACTTCCGCTTTTCTTTTCCTCGTGGACAATCGTTCTGGAGAACTATCGAGGCGTTTACTCTGTTCAAGATTCCGTTTCATTCTTTTACCCATGTTCCTACCAGTTCTTTAGCCGGCTACAAACATTTTTCACATTTCTACCGGGGCTCGATAAATAACTGACAAACTATTGCGACATAACTACTTGTAAATTGTCCCCGATGGTATACAAATACCGTTTTAGTTCTAATGTTGCATTTCATTTTTTTGCAATTCTATCGCTGTGACATTTTTACAATTCTGATTGCTGTGAATTTCAAATTTGAACTTTTCAATATACTTAAACGAATGATATTTTTCTAAGTTAGGACTAATATGTGAATGACAATGTCTTTTTTTCTATTTTTTCATTTCTGTTGAATGCAGTAGTAAATAATGTATATTTAAATATTTTTGAATTTCAGTCATAGATACCTGACAATTCCTTGAATCTGCTGAACTGTTTAACTTTATCTATAAAATTCTTTCGTATCTTTATAATATCGATACCGTACAAACTATTACAAGTATAACAATAAAGGCTCTTTATTTTCCGCAAATTGAAATGAAAAAATGAGTATCATTATTTTCCGAATGTCTAATTTTTAAAATTTCTATCATGTTCCTGCCCTGTCCTATTCTTTCCTCTAAATAACTAAATCTTTTCGAAATATTTACGAGTTCTTCAGATGATCACAAAGAAAGAAAAGTTGTACAAAACTTTGAACACTGTATTTGCCGTTGAAAAAAAAAAGGATGCAAATGTATTGAATAGTATAATCCCACACGTTTGGTAAAATGTAAATAAGGATGAACCGTATCTATTTTCTGTCAAGTTCAATTATTTCGAAAACTCTGGACAATCTTTCATACTCTTTTTAAACGTACCTTAACACATGGACCGGCTCTTTTCTTCTCAAAGATATTCAACCTCACAACTTGGACCCGATTAATAAAAGGAATGGATCGCGAATTGAGGAACGGTCTCTGCCAACGCAAGGCCACCGCGGCTTAGTAATTTAATCAGCTAAAACTAACATCAGCTCTGTTTCCCCAACCCTCCTCATCCTCGGCCGCCTCTTTCTTCTCCCTACTGCTCTTCTTACCTCCGTAACCGACCAACCCCAAGATGATTTAATCTGCTAAAATGGTGCAAGTATCTATAGGCACTTAGGAGCTAGGGTCGCGACACGAAACAAAATAATTCAAGAAAATAGGCATACTCCTCTCGCGTAATAAAGATACAGCCTTGTATTATGAAATCCACTTTGGGTATACGTTACATATTCAGTTGTACACAATTTCCAAACTCCCATTACCTTACAAATACTTCCAGAAAATTTTTCTAATCGAAATTATTCTCTTCTTTATATAAGAAATACGTTTCTATCGAGTTGTACGTAATTTCCAAACTCCTATTGTCTTATAAATAAAGTTATTCGTTTTCTTAACTGTGATCAATAAGTAGAATAGACAAAAGTCATTCAAGCAAGAAGTTCTTGTCTTCCGACGAAATCTCTTTCTATTCAGTTGCCTGAGGTAAACGTGTATACACAAACACACATCCAAATACTTTCAGAAAATGGAAAATTTGACCAATACGAAATTTCCCTTCCTCAACTCTGAACAACGAGTAAAAAGTTCGCGGCTTTCGAAGAAATCCTTCGATCAAACGTCTAAGAAGTGTTCGGCAAGTGTTTATTTATACTCGACTATCTGCCGATTTTATCCATCGATCAGAAGATCGTTAGACGTTGCGCACACGTCGTAGGCGCGAAACGCGGTTCATAGAAAGGCGTCGTATTCGAAAGAGCACCCTTAAACGCACAAAGGACTTATCGTACTCGTGATCGGGCACCGTATTTGCGTTTGCTCGAAGGTTATGGTCCTTCTTTGCACGCTATCGCCAGACCAGGATCTACGGCCCTGTGTACAGGGTCACAACACGTGGTTCGCGGGCCGCGCGCAGGGTTCGCCACGTGGCGCAGATAACAGGATGGAGCAGACACGCGGCGGTCGCTGCTTTCCCGGAGGGATAGGAATCAACCCCCCGGAAAATTAAGTGCTTGTAGCTCAGATGATAACACTCTCAGCAACGGGAACGCGTCACTGCAACTACTTTGGAAGAGTTGCGCCGCGTGGAAATGTTAACCGGATGGAAAGAAACGCGGCAGCTTGTGATTTCATTGTTGCCTGCGCATTTCTGTCAATTGTAGAGGCGGTTTTTGTTTTTAGTACAATTCAGTTGCAATACCGATTGTTAGGATTTGTTCTGTGGAAAACTAACGGTATGTAGTTTTAATGAAAATTACTAAATTTGTTCTGAACTGATTAATTAGGTGAACCGAAGGAACTTTCCTTTGGTGTGACACGTTATGAGAATGCTACGTTGAGAGATTTAACACGTTAAGCGCCAAGCCTGTTTTGTCTTCCTTTCCGTTTAGCCCGCGACATCCGATTTCATCGATATGCTGGCGGCCGGAGATCTGTGTAAGGTTGCGATAAGACTGTATGCTTTAATAGTACTCATTAAAATTTTTTTTTTTTGGTAATAAGTAATATTTAGATGCATTCTTTTATGATCTCCAAATTATTTAAAATTTATTAATAGAAGAATATCATTTTTTAAATTGTATATCGTCACGGCCTGAACGAAAAGTATACTGTCAGTCACCGGTGACTGACATGGCGCTTAACGTGTTAATGTGAAAGATTGAAATTACGGGTCACTTGCTGTGTATTCTAATTGTTACTTATGACAGTATTTAAGTAATACTAGATATTCAATTGTATTGGTAATGTACAGGAAATTCGAGTTCTATTTACTAGAGATTAAATTTATGTAGTATTTCCTCACAGTTAAATGTCGTACTATTTGTAAGGATGTTACAAATGTTCTAGATAAATTGGAAGACATTCTTCATTGACATATTACATAAATTATTGTTCCTAATTAGAGTATCTGATAAAAAAATGAAGATATTTATTCCTACCTGTTTTGTTGCAGAATCAATGAGCCTCACGTAGATATCCTGCACCTGTCTGACACCTGTAACAAAATGAAAAAGACTTCCTTCAAACAGGTAACTTTAAACACTCGTGAAAATTAATGTATTCTAATATGCACATATTTTACACGTGAATAAACAGAAAATAATATTTCGTTATTAACGTCACTTGAACTACATTTCTGCAAAGTTTCAACTTTTCAGGTTGTCGAACTTCCGAAAAAATTTAATAACTACGTAAATAAAACATACGTTCCTAACCTAACCTTACAATGTCAACGCGTGTTGCAATAGGTAGGTACATAGAAGACAGCAAGTAGCAAACGATCGTCCATGTTGAAAAGGTAAATAGTTATGCCCTTTTTGGAACCGAAAGCAGTTTCACGTTGTCTTTTTTTCGCTTAATATAAAGACAACGCTGCTCTTTATTCAATTTAGCCAGCTGGTTTTTCAACGATTCGGTAAGAAGGCCCATTAAGTTAAGAACGTTGCGCGCAGGCATTTGCGACGGATGTGCATGGAATACGACGAATACGGAAACGAGTCCAAATTCTGACAAGTTCGGCGCCGCTGAAAGGGACTGCCTCAGAAAAACTTACATATTAAGGAGCATTTAAGGTGGACGACGAGGTAAGCGGCCTGATCGCATCCCCGGAGACGTATGCACAATCCCCGTTGTTTTTGCATGGACCCAACCCATACTTTATACAATCGAGTACCGACTTCACCCAACAGATCGCTATGCAATGAACCATCGCGGCGAGGCAAATTCTTGTACGTGTTGTGCGTTAATTATCTTTCAGGCTTTAGTTCCGTAAGGATCAACATTTCGGGGAACTTAATGACAGCAAGGTGAACATAATCTCTCAACTGAAAGAAGGACGATCATTGAACTCTCGTGATATACTTCTATATACAGTTAACTACTCGGTGTTCGAGATCGATAAAAAGTTGCCACGTTGTAATTTAACGAGGTGAGTTCGGTAACGCGAAAATTCAGGAACGTTTGAAACTTTGCGGAAATGTAGCTTAAGCGATGACGATAACGAGACTATTTTTCGTTTAGGGGTGAAAACGCCTTTTTACAGAAATTCAGTTCTCGGATTATCGTGAATATTTAGGGAACCGTGCAATTTTCGAAAAGAATGGCGAAGTAAATTTTGTAAAAGACATATTTTCCGAGAATTCTTCAGGACTCTAATATAGAACATTAGAAATCCTACAGCTTTAAATTCGACGCTTTTTCCATATTTCGTACGGTCACGTAAATATTCAGGGTAATACGAAAACGAGGGGATGTTTCCACCCTTAAGCTACACTTCTCCAAAGTTTCAAATTCTCTACAATTTTGACTCACCAAACTTCCCCCGTAACTAAACTCACCACTCTACGTTTATTAAAAATTTCATCTGCATAGATGAATAAAAAATTTATTTCAACACGAATGACGTATTAATTGGTGCACGTTTGCCCGGCATCGTTGCTACCGGGTAGCCTAACAAGACTCGATATGATATTTATATACGTTTCGCGGTAACAAGTTTTCGAAACAGTTTCTACCTTCCAGAGGGAGCGGTAGGTAATCCTAGGGAGTATTTTGAACAGATACCCCCGTGGCTTCCGGCTTCGCGTGTCCGGTAAGCCAAGTAATCCCGACATAAGACTCCCAGACCCGGCGGCTACTACGGACCAGGCTCACGCCGCATAACGTTACCATGGATTACGATACTCCGCCCGAAACTAGCTCACAAATTACCTCGAGAAACCGTCGCGGCTTTACCGGTAGTTACTTGCGTGCCCCGCCGGTTTCTATCCGACGAGAGAGTAGCGATGTCAGGATTTACCGCGTACAATGGAACATCGATTATGCGAGCTGATTGGAAAACACTTCGGTGAAGACTGTCGATTGTTGGCTGGTTTTGCGAAGATGAAACGATTCCTATCATTAGACCGGAATGCTAGTGTTTTCTGCGATTTATCGCGGAGTACATAGACTTCCTGCAATGTTCCCTTTTCCACACCTTAGAATTTTTCGGGAATTCAAGTGAAATGTGAATCTTTTGAAAAGAGGATTGTATTTGAAATAAAACTGAGAAACTTAATTATTCTGCTCTGTATCGAGCATCGTGAATGATAACTGTTGTCAAGTTATACATAGGCTTTTTAACGTTATTAACGATCTCACGCAAAGTATTATAAAAACAGACAATCTCATCGTGTACTCACTTCCACTTTCAGTAGTAAAATCATACTAAAAAAGACACTAACTTTAGCAACTCTACCGATATGTATATTACTACTTATTTCCCTTAAAGATTCCTGCAAATCGCTCGAAAGTTTTGCATGAACGCGACCACTCCTCTAGCAAGATACGCGGTATTCTATAAAACGCATCCGGTTCATCAGATAACAAAGATTGTTTCCATTCTGGATGCTCGGTATGTAAACAAGACGGTATAAAATCAGCGGTCGAACGAGCGAATTCATTTATGCAAGTACGTCGATGCATCTTAAGGAAGCACGATTACCAGCGCGAGTCTGGTGACGTGCTACGTAAAGGTACGTATACGTTTATCACAGACGTTGCGGTGAATCGTGATCATGTCTCCAAGTACGACAATAAAGGCAAAAGATCGGCAAGAAGGTAGGTAAGAAGCGGCATCGCGTGCCAAGTCCTGCTGAGAGGAGGCAGATAGATCCGTCCGTATTAGCATAACTAGGCAACCAACTTCAACGTGTACAAGAAGTCATTGAAGAAGCAGACACAACCCATTTTACTCCTTCAATCGGTATCCTTAATCAGTGACGCTCTTATTACGAGCCGTTATATTCCGCGGTCCAACTACCTGTTCACTCTATTCTCTACGGCTCTCTTCCTCTAAATAACTTCTGCTTTCATATGTTCCTCTTCGTCCAGCATCGCCGATCTGTGCAGTGGCTTGCTCGGTCTTAGAGGCGCAATGGCACCGGAGCGACGCATAGAACAGAGACGGAGAACGAGAATGGAAGAAACCGAATGAAATGGAAGAGAAACCGGAGGGAAGGACGGTGACAAAAAGAAGTAGAACCTGATATGGAGAAACTCGAGATTGTCGTCACTCGGAAGATAGACTATACCCATTGTCTGTTTATTATTTAACGATAGATTTATCGACCGAATCATCGGTATACACAGTGTGCACATTGGATTGTGCGAGAAACAGGTAGAACTGGAGGCTAATTTGTCTCTACGATGTAAGGTAAATGAAACTTTTACGAGCTTCTTGAGAATTTTAATAGAAGATTAATCTACGAATCAAAACAGAGAATTACTCTGGTAGGCTTTGTTACACCACAACGTTGGGTTCTATCATTTGTTTCCTTTGGAAACGTCACTGTCCCTGCGTTTCACGTTATTACATTCGATAGAACGTGGATTCTTTAGCGTTTTAACACCTTCGCCGCCACTTGACCATTGAAAGGAACATGTCGTGTGCCACCAATTCGTAAACTCTCAATCAAACACGACATTTTCACGTAGCGATCGATCACACAGAGACAGTATCGATTTTTAATTACCGGTCGATACACTGTCAACACACTGTCGTCAATGGCACACGGGGAAAGTCATTTTGCGCCGCTTGTGTTGCGGCTGTGGCAGTGAACGTATTAAAGCGATCTATTTTACACGTTAAAAATGTAAATGAAAAAGTCTCTAATCTATATAGTTAAATTCAAATGTCACTGAAAATATGTCTTAATCATCCTTCAAACTAAAGTCCAATACCTTTGATTACGAATTAAACTCCGCTATCCAAATCCGTCCTAACGCACAGTGAAAAATGACGTTCTCTAAATACCGCAGAACGAGCAAGTGGAATTATGACAGCGAAAGAAGACGAAGACGTCGTTCTTCGTGAACAGAGACTAGGAGCTAACGTCGAAAGTAAAAGCTAGCGCGGGGAACGAAGGAAGGCCGAAGGTGGCCATAGGTATTCCGTAGTTTGCAACAGTTAGTTATTCCTTGTTTGCGATGTTGGCAACACGTTTTAGTGTCCATAGATGGGTAGAGCGGCCCTTCAGTCAGTTCTGTCAACGTAAAAATCTCGCATTGATTGATCGGCTCGCAACAGCAGTAGCAAGAAAGCTGGTGGTATGAGCCACGGAAAAGAAAAAGAGGGCAGCCAGAAAAGGGGCAGGATAGGGAACCGAAAAGAAACAAGGGGGAAGGATACTTGGGAAGAGAAAGAGGCACGAGAATCGGCAAGAAATAGAGATAAAGAAAGTACCGTAGAAGTTGACGTTGTTGCTGGCATATACAGAGTGAAGAACCTCTGAAACGAGAGTCAGCAGATAGCGCCTTGCGGCTTTTTAATATGTTCATAATACGAGGCACGTTTTTAAGGGAGTCTGTTTCTTGGACCACCTCTAGATCATCGACTCCGTTCTCCTCTCTCTTACCGTCGCGTTTCTCCTTTCCTTTATCCGTTCACGCACAGACGTTCTGACGTTTCTTTAGGACGGAAGTTAAACCCTTTTTGTCAGGTCCGGGCCAGTGACATAAAATATGTCTCTGTTGCGTTCGGGCCTCGAAAGTTCCTGAGCTTTTTAGCGGCCCTAAGAGACCGGGTGTCTGTGCGGAATGTTGATGGCCCGTCATCGTCACTTCGGATGGGGCTTTTACGTACTCGACACTTTAAATAGTATGCGTTTACAGATTGACTTAAAGGGAACGCCTCTTCAAATGAAACAAGCCGAAAACGAAGATCTTATGAAATATTTAACTTGGCGTGAGTGAACATTTGGCGACAACTAATCGATGGGTACTCTGAAATTATAATACTTCTTCGCTACGAGATTTATTCGTAATTTGAATTCCATGATTAATAGTCTGCTCGTATAATACTTATCCGTGATATAGGAAAGTAGATTTAAATTTTATTATATTTCTTAATTTAGTTATTATTTCTTTTAAAAACAAAAACACGTTACACTGGTTAGTTATTTTTTTAAATACTTCAATTTTTTTATTCATAATTTATATTTATGCGACATAAATATCGATAATTTTAATTAAATCACGATCGTAATAGTATCGATCCAGAAAAAATCGATCTAACCATCTAATATACGATTTCTTATCAATTTGGGGATTTGTGATTGTAAATATACGTTATTGGAAATAAATATCGACTGCGACACTCTGATATATCCCTACTTTATAATTCAAGTAAATAGTAATTTAGTATTCATAAATAGATAGGACGAACGACTACATAACCAACTTGATTTATGTTACTCACCATTAGAATACAGCAGATGCAAGCTGTATTGAATACCATTGTTCGTTTTCTGACCCTCGGATTCCTAGAAACAAACATACAACACGATATTTCTATGAGTGTTCAATTAATTCATTCAAACGCAACGTTAAAGTTACAGGTAAAGACGCGTTGTTAACGATAAACTACATCTTCGCTTGTCTTCGCGAAAATTCTACGTATCAACGTCTTTTCCAATTACAAAGTTCACGTCGATTCATTAATTCACGACGCCTGTATAAGTGAATTTCACCATTAAACCTCGTTAATCCCGTGAAATTCGGTGCGTGTTTAAATCGTTTGAACGAGCGGTGCACGAAGGAACGAGAAGATTCAACCCCATGCGTTCTTCGCGCCCCGTTCTATTTTAATTAAGTGCACCGTGACGTAACTCTCGCGCTCGGCCTGTTCCACCTCACGCTAATTATTAATTTCTTGATGTGCCGGTAAGAGCTGTGCCATTACGTATGGCGTGCGATGCATAATTATCATCCTGCCCTGTTGACGAGTCATGCGTGCATCGTGCCATATGCCGCGGTAATGCATTTTCAACTACCTACCCTTGTGATACACCCACGGACTCTGCTAAACCCCCGTATCGTGGCCACGACTTTTACCCGAGCTCACAATCTTTTGACCCGAGTGTCCGATCGATTATTACGAAAAAGTTTACGTAATTACCCAGATCGAATGGTTAGTTATTAGGTGTACAAGTGAATCCTTCCCGACTGGATTTTCCGCACAATCGAAGTCACCGCGAGTTTCTATCGCCTCGTTCGCTAGGAAGAATAGCAAAAGATCGACAATAATGGAAATTACGATAAAAGTAATTTGCAAAATTAATTACACGTATATTACAAAGTAACACGATGAATAAACGAAATGCGAAGCGTACAACGAGCGCAATTCAATTTGAAAAACTTCGAGACACGGCGAACCGAGTTAATTACGTAAATTCAATGTTCGCCGGTTTCTCTGTAAGAGATAAAAAGTATAGATCATTTTTCTATTAAGCCTTGATTACGGTACATTGGATAATCGTCGTTAGTTTGTCGGCAGATCGACATCATTCTTCCCTTTTTCCACCCGTCGTGTGTACGCATTAAGCTCTTTCCTGTCACCGGCGTTCGTCCCGGCCATTAATCTCTAAATTCGCAAGCGCACGATGGACGTTAATCAGGTATATACAACGTAGGTCGGCCGATCTACGACTACTTTTTAATTAAACACGAATAAAAAGCGGACGGAGAGTAGAATGAACGCGGGGTCCCTGTATTTACGTAGGGCACAAGTTTCCAGGAACTGTACGTTTGCCGTACCGTTGACACACTCTATTTACAGGCTTTTACGTTACGTATTACATACGCGGGGAGGGAATGATAGCCGGTCAATCGACCGTTAGCCACTGGACGTTGGCCACTTCAATAATTGAGGTCCATAAAAATATAGAAATGCCTTCCCGTATCTGTGGAACTTAGAGGCAAACCGAGGGCGAGGACAGGTGTAGGTGCGTTCAAGCACAAACGGCTACTCGACACTGGGGCTGATCTATGCTCGCGGTGCATGACCCTAATTAATAGGGAGACTATGCAATGCAACTGTCCTGCTCATGTGAATTATACATAGACGTGGTCGGAGCAGAGGATGGGGAGGAATGGAGATATCAAGATAGCCGATGTAAATCGAAGCGAGGGAATAGAAAGTACACTTGTTCTACTGACTCACGAGTAAAGATACTTTCGCACATTTCTTTGGCAGTCTACTTCTAACGTCATTTGCAATTTAGATCTCTCATTTGGCTAATGAAGCTTTCGTGCAAGTCTCACGTTATGTCGATGGATTAAAAATTGTACGAGTTATATTTATCCCCGAGGTTTGATGTCTGCGTGCTTATCGTTGTGCAAGAATTAGTACATATAATGGAAGTATTCGTATTTTGCTGAAATTGGTTTTCTGAGCTGTAAATATTTCTTATTTATGAGAACGTCGTATTGACTACTGCTAAATGACATAGAAGCGTAAATATAGACGTAATTAAACTAATTAATTGAAGTTAATTCGCGATCCAATTTTAAACGATTAGATAGCGGTACTAGATACGAACGAAGATGCAATCAACGGGATGAAAGTTTTGTCGTGAGTTGAAAAATTAAAGTAATGCAATACCTGTTAGTATTTCAGTAAAAAGAATGCAGAACTTTTACAGAAAGTAGTCGTTTCCGAATTTGAGCATTAACTGAAAGTAGATAATTAAACATATATATCAAATCATATAAAACGTATTTTGCTTAAGGTTGTGATTAACATTGTAATATTGATTTGAACTCGAAATACTTTTTTTTTCATTCATGTACACAACACTAGACGACACAGGAATTTCCACATTGTACTATACCATCAAGTCCTGAACCCTATGTCTAATAACAGCCAGCCATATCGCGTCTGATTAAACTATCTCACTATAAATGTCGACCTGATTTAATAGGCCAAGTGTGTACGCTGCTGCGCGAAACGTAAAAGCAGAATACGAGTAGAAAACGAAAGAGAAAGAAAGGGTCAAGGGTTAAGCAAAAGGAAAAACTTTCTCACCGATGTACACCTGAATAGAGCCTATTGAAAGTTCTAAAACTTAATAATTCGATACCTATCTCTCTGTGTAACGAACACACGCCTTTGTACCGTGAATCTGGACGCTTCTCTCGTATTTGGCGTTCCAAGTGTTCCGTGATACATGCACGCGATCGGTTCACGATGTACAAACTCGAAGCTCGTAAGTACACTCCGGTTCTTCGTATGGTAGAGCGGTAGGATACGCGATCATTCGCATGGTCGTTTGTCCAAACAGTCTTTCCCTGTGTAGCGATTTCTCTCTAATTGACCAATAGAAAGTGGAGCTCTAACGATGACTGTGCTGACAATCGTGTCCCGTTCCAGAGCCGTTCGCACGGGGTCGCGATAGCTTCACAAACACCGGTTCGAACATCATTTCTGTCAATGAGTCTAATCCACTCGGTGTAACGGACAGAGATTTACTATCTTGATCGCAATCATAAACGACTCTTTACATTAATTGAAAGATCACTGGGATGACAGGATTCCACTGTGACGGAAAAGTAGACAACCCGACGTTAATGATCGATAAACGAGGTTAATTTCGATATCGATGGAAAATAATTGCCGTTCAACTTTGATTTCTATACAGCAGTAATGATATACGGTGAAAAAATTGAACGGTAAGTGAAAGCTACGGTAGAAATTGGAAATTTGTTACGTTTAAAATTAGAAATTTATTATACGTGAAATAATTTGGAGAGCGTAAAAATGTAAAAATCGTGGAAGAGAATAAAGCGCGATAGTAAAATGTTTCGGAGCACTTTGCAATGTAGGAAAGTTGCACAGTTGAAGAAACCTGTGTCTACAATTCTTGATTAATACATTATCGGACGAATCCGGAGATTCTCACTCACAGCTATTTTCTGAAAGCGTTGAAAATACGTCGATTTGATAACGTGTTCACGGAAGATACAATTCACTTCGAAGTAGAAAATTTAATCAACGTATTACTTTTACTCGCAGAAAAATTTGTCACCGATTGTCCGAGAATCTTTCGAATTGAATTTACTTTACACAATTGTTCGCCGAAGTAAGGCCAAAATAATTCTTACCCGGCTACAGGTTAATCACGCGATTAAATTAACTCTTCCTCCTCGGCAAGGGATTAGTGGAATGAAATAGAGGTAATTCGCCGGTAAGAGTGAAATATTAATTGGTGAAATTTCAACGACACCTCGATTTAATAACAAATGCTCGGGAAGATAGGATCAGCGATAGAACACGGGAGACACGGTGGACAAAAGAAAATGGAGAGCCAGTTATTATTTGTAGGTTGCTCGGTTCGCGTGATCGCATCGATGCTCTTACGATCGCGTCCGTCCATTTCTCACGCGGCCAATGGATTTTCGCTTGTCGGACTAATTGCTGGAAAAGCTAGAGGTGTATCCTGCCGACTATCGATATGTATACGCATAGGCGGAGCCGTTTAATATTTGACGTCACCCCCGATGGAAACGGCAATTATCGAGATAAGCGCACGCTCGCACGATATTCCCTGATGTCATAAAGGTCTACCTCGCCTTTTTCCACTTAACCTCCCGGGAAAAGCGGAACTACTACGAGCATTGAAACTCTGAAGTTGTCATTTGACGCCATCACTTATTTTTAACTCGACGTCGAATAATGCGCGACGTTTCTTATCGATTTTTCGAGAAATACGAGACAAGGTCCTCTTCTGATTTCAACGATCAAGATTGCTGTTTCGTTTCTTCGCGAATCGAGGAGATAGAAAAAGCACTCTACGACCTTAATACCTGTGCACTATACAGGGTGCGGGAGAAAGTTAGGTACAAGGTTTCTTATGGAAAAATTAAAAAAAAAGAATAGGATAAAATTTTTTCTTTCGAAGCTTAGTTTTGGAGAAAATCGAGCTTGACAATACGTTGCGTGCGTTTACACGAGGACACCAGTTTCAATAATTCCTTAATTGATATAAAATTTTATCTTTTTGCTTTCTTGAACCTCAAATTAAATTTTCTCGAAAATTAAGCCTTGGATGAAAAATGTTCTTTTTACTTTTTCAGAAGAAATTATCTCGTATCCACTTATGTATTCCTTCCCTTTTTGTTGCATTTCAACGTTCTTTGAATAAATTCAGTTTTCTTACTAAAATCTGTTTTTGTTAAATCCATGCAATGTGTTAAAACAATTACCTGATCTTTCTCGACGAAACCCATGAAGGAGGTCCTTTCTATCTCAATCGGTTGACCGTGTCGATCATAAAGAGCGATCACAAAATGGAAGAAGTTACTCTTCCTCAAATTGCTTGGTGGTTGCTTCTCGAAGTGTGCTCTTCCTACACCGACTCTGAAATTCACACGTAAACACGATGCAATACTTTCAAGTTAAAAAAATATTTCTGCGTTAATTCTATGAAATTATCAGCGAGGCATTTAAATGAACCTTACTTTCATAATTATATACACATAGAATTCTGTTTCTTTGGAAAGCTGTTCGGTATAAATACACAAATTTAAGAAAAACGTTACTGTTTTAATATTACTGTTAATTTTCTAATTAATTTGAACAACATTATAGGAAAATTGACGTTTTCTCTCGACAGTTAAAATTAGTAATTCTATAAAATTATTAGCAAGGCATTTAAATGGTCGTTAACTTTACATCCATATACATAAAATTCTGTTTCCTCAGAAAGTTGTGATTGTGAAAAATGTTACATTTTCGCATATAAATTCAGACCTAATTCTAAACTAATTTCAAACTGTGTCATTTTCTAATTAATCTTAATAACACAATCACGTGCTGTATTTTGATATTTCTCCTCGACAGTTGAAATTCTTCTGAAACATATTTTGCACTTCACTCCATACTATCCCGCGGAATGACGAGCACTTAGCTACGCCGAGTATAAAGAATGTGCGCACAGTCGATGCCGCAAACGATGCACGTTACCAAATTCAGACGTCAGGAGTGAAATTCTCTATCGTAGGGTCAAATAGGTATGTCCTATTCGGCCTTGAATGCAATAAGAATGCCCAAACTGGTAGAGAGGAAAGACAAACGAGGTTGCTCGTGGGGGAGCGCGCAGGTGGCCTCGACGCCTTAAAATCCCATTAAGGTCTCATGTGCTGAGATTAGGCCACCGGACTCCAATGCCATCTTTGAGTAATTGCACGGAAAGTCCCCTTTTCGAGTGCGCTACCTCGCATAGTACGTGTGTGCAACTACGCTCCGATTGATTCCGTAAAACATGACTTTTCACCGAGCTTTCTGCCACGATTCGTGATATCCTGTCTTTTACAATTATCTCCGACGCCTGTGAGCCGTCCGTTCGAATACTTTTCTGGAGGTACCGACTATTTTTTTAAATAGATGAAAATAATGTTCTATATAAATTACGTGTTTAATTCAATGTATGAATTAATTTTTTAAATTTTACACGTAAATACTCCATTTATTTCTTGTTACTTGCTTAAAAGTTTCCGAAATATCTAATATTTGTTAATTGAAACTTTAGTGCAAAGGTTGAGGCAACTTCATATTTTTTAAAAAATTAAATTTTCCGTGATGACGCTAGCAGGAGCTACTGAGCAAATCGACATATGGTATTTATTTAATGTCACAGTACTAAACAAGATCAGTTAATATTATTCTATAACTCAATAGCAATTTCACTTGATCAAAATATTTATGATAGATTTAGCGATATTTAATAAATTATGAACATTTGATATAGGTTGAAAGAATGTATTCGGCGAATCAACTGCTATAAATATTACAGCTGTCCTATAATTTACTTCTGTTTGAAATTCTCACCGTTTGCTCTTTAATTACGTAATATACACGCTTTCCGCGCGTTTTAAGCGATTCTCACTAAACTATTCGGGTCTCCTGGCCCCCCTTGGCTCTAAATGTAACCTCTATTTCCTGGTAAAAATTCATACTTTCCAGCTTTCGTGTAAACATGTAATTTAGCGACTAAGTCCATATACTACTTTGCAATCTCCTATTAAACAAATATTACTGTCGTTCTAGGAATGCTAGACGGCGACAATGATTAAAATATTAAATAACAAACATTTTTCATTTTAGCCTGGATTTTATTTGTGAATCTTATTCTCACTCGCTAATAAGTTACAACTTTCTCTTCGATAACATTTATTTCAAATTTCTGCTTTTCTGCTTTTCAAAATCACCAGGTACTTCCTAAAATTTACCTACTCCAAAGACACTGCAAATTAATTCGGCATGTTTCTCACAAAATTGCCATAACATTCTCCTATTTACCGAGCAACTGACAAAAATTCCCTATTACGGTGCGGCAAATTAATTCGCACATCCAACATCCCACCCACACAAGAATTATAACCACAAAAACTGACAAAGAAAACCTGCCACCAATGTTAAACAAAAGCCTCGCAACAAAACAGTTAAAAATTTCGAATCCTTCGTTCGAACGGTTTCGCATTCCACTATAAACACGTGAAAAAAAAAAAGAGGCAATCGCCAATGAACCGGTGCAGTTCGTCGAAGCGCGTCAAGCTATCAGCGCGAAAGGGTTTTTAAGCGCAGTACATCGGGGTAGGGGCGGGATGAAGGGTGGCGGTGGTGGTGCGCGTTTCGATGGTTAAAAACCGCCACGGAGAAATCGCATTATCGGATGGCGGCGGCATCGCGATCGCGGGATGCGGCAGCGGTGCGGTGGTAGTAGCGGGATGGTAGCGTCGCGGCGCGAACCGATAAAACGATCGCGTGGCTGCGCGGAATGCCGCGCGCACTGCCATCAGGGCAGACACTCCGAGCGGAAAACTGAATCGACTGGACCGAAAATGAATAGCGGCAGTTTTGCAGCACATTTGCGAAATAAATGATGGTATCGGCGGTGCGTTTGTCACGGCAGGCGGTGGGATGTCGGTCTGCCGGCAGGCAGAGGAGGCAGAGCAAGAGGTGGAGGCTAGAAGGGGTTCGCCAACCGGGCATTCGAGGGCAAAGGGGGTGTTGAATCCGGTGCAGAGAGAGAGAGAGAGGAGAGAGAGGGTCCGCTGGAGGGAAGGAGGCCACTGGGGTGGCTGAGAGAGGCTCGGAGGGGAGTGATGTACTGCCCGTGTCGATAATTATCGGTGGCTGATTAACCGGCCGCCGGTTCGCGCCCCATAACTCTCGACGTCCGATTATTTTGCCCCGTTTGCCATGCACCAATTCCTATATAACGTGTAGGCACGTCCTGCCGCGCCGTTACATTATCACCTGCGGTGCAATTCTGCCGCACACCTTTTTGGAAACTATTGCGGATTGCGGCCCACCGCGGCTACGCGGTTTCAAGATTATGCTCGCTGAAATAATAATACATATGCGAGCTCGCGTGGCTGTGTTTTATTTCGCTGGAGAGACATGCTGGCGTGTTTCGGTAGGATCGTTATTCTCCTTGCTCATTTTCTACATTGTCACTTGCTAGTTTGACTAATTCGCTTGGTGATTTCTGGGAATCGCGAAGGTTTGAGGAATTTGATTGTTTTGCAGTTGCGAGGGAAACGAAGGCTTGTGGTGGTTTAATCTATCGCTTTATTCATCTTAAATAAAAAACATTTGAACATTACGTATGTTTTTTATTTAATAAGTATTTGACGTTTCTTTGCAAACAGAACTCATTTTTGCAATATTTTAATATTACTCACACCACGAGTATGATTCGTTATTGTATATCGAAGGGGTTAGTAAGTTTCGTGAAATTTTAATTATTTATTCGTGGAAAATTGAACAATTTACTGCTCCTGTTGCATTACGAATTGTCTACTTTTCGTTTTACTTCTTCGTAATATTTATTAAATATCAATTGAAGATGTTTGGGACAAATGTTACTCTACTCGTTCGTTCTAAGTGTTGTTATTCGATATTTTTTACGTCACGGTGTAATACCGAGCATAATTGTAATCAACTCAATATTTTTATCGTTTGAAACGTATTTGCGAAAATTTAGCGTTAGAAAAATTTTCTAGCAACGGCGTAAAGCGTTCGTGATGTTTCAATTAAAAAGAGAAAAATACGAGAACACGCGACACGCGAATATGGACAATGAATCTAGGGACCGTAGTAATTTAACGGACCAGTATAATTATAATCACACGGCCAGAAAGCGGTTCACACCAATATTCCTCTATTAAGCGGTTATTTTTCGCGTCACTTCATCCACTCGTCACTCGCTACATGGATCCAATATTTAGGGGTTATTCTATCCAAACATTTGTCCACGTGGTTAATTCTCACTCGTGCAGAAATTGCAATTCTTAATCAATTTTCAGAGACAAATTTGATGATTGGATGCAACAGTGTCCGATGTGAGACGCTGCCAATTTTTACGAACTTTACAAACAATATATAATAGCATTGAACAGAATATAAGAAATTTATGCGAACGTATTTCCATAATTATTCATTCGATATTCACTTTTTTCAATTACTTTAATTATTCCACTAATTTTCAATAACTCCCATAGATTATCAGGGATACCCAAAGTTAGAAACCAAAGTACAGTTATTCGAACCAAATTGATACATCAGCATAATTTAATATTTTGTTCTTCAGAATAATGTTAATATCTTTTCCTATACTATCTCGAACTATGACAATACAATGTTTCAAACATTCTCTCAGAATTTAGAATCGTCTGCGGATTCCAAAATTGATACTCTTTCATTCACTCGCATATTTTTCCTGAGAGACGAGCGCGTAACAATTTGACTGTTTTAGCCCGCGGCAAAACGACACGAAGGTGATAATTACAGGCTGAATATCCGTAGCCGAGATTCCCAGGTACAATTTGCCACACGCCTGCTTTCGGATAGCAGATAACGTTCATCGGTGGCGCGCAACGTGCTGGCTGCTGCTCTGGCTTCGGCCTCGAGGCATTACGATCCCTGCCGCCTAACTTTTCTTTCGCGACATCTGAAGCAACGGCAGCGATTCGATCGACCGACAAAGATAACCCGATACTCACCGTGTGCCAAATACGCAAATGAAGATGTAGGACACGATAGGTGTCTTTCCGCGCGATACCGGTTTTTCTTTCCCTGCATCGTTACATCCATCGGTGTTCAAACGTCACAAATAGTTCTACACTTAGGAAAATGCTAATTTCAGAAAAAGAAGTGCGCAAAAATAACGTGCGTGAAATAATTAACCGTTGAAAGACAGTTTATCCTTTTCAAGAGGAATATACCTTTCAAAACGAACGTAAACCAAATAGGGCTGCTACTATTCGAAAGGATTTCAATCGAACCGAAAAACTCCGTCGACATAGTATAAACAACCGCTCGTTAAATTCGATACTAGGACGAATTTGACTTTG